TATATATATATATATACATATATATAATTAATAAATTTATGAGTACCTAATATTTATCTCTGCAAAAAAGTCCGGGGGAAACCACTCACTGCAAGGATGGGATGATGAGATCAAAAGAACAGCCAACTGGGTTTGAATGGTACAGAGACAAATGGACATATTGGGAGGAGGCGTTCACCGAATCTGGAATTTTTGCATAGAAAAAACATATATATATACTTATGTATGTATAAACACTAATTAACATACTACAAAAAACATAAAACTGTAATAATGTAAGAAATTAGGTTTTAATATTATTATTATAATATTAGTCTCAATTCTTAGATCAATCCGCTGTATCTGGAAACTTGAAATTTCACGGTAGTTCTGGGAAGAAAGGTTTTGGTACATCCCATGAAGTGAGTTTCACTTGAGCGATACTGCTGGATTTTCTTCTTATTCTTGAATAAAATATTTATGTAATTTAATGTACATACACAGTGAATGTTATTGGGTAGCAATATTGCGTAGGATTCCGTTGATTTATTTATACGATACCCGAGTGGAGAGGGCTCGTATTAACTTGGCATTTGAGAGAGCACTTAGTATGATTAGTAGAACGCTTTAGGCTCTCGTCTACTCACCGAATGGACTGCTAACATTAATTAATAATAATTACGTTCATCCTTGCATTAACTTCTTCATATAATTAAGTTGAGCAATTAGTTGTTGGCGGTGTCAATAAATACAAGATGTATAATACAGTAAATATATATTGTAAGGGGGAAAGGGATTGTTAGTAATGGAAACTAAGAATCCCATTGCTAGCAATATACTCAACCAGGTCGACCTCCTCGCGGTTCTCCCTGGAAACTGTCATGGTTAATTCCTGGTGAATTCATCATGGTGGGCTGGCTGGCCTGTTTTCGTTCTCATCTATCACCCTTCACTGGTGCTCCGCCAGCGTATCCCATTAGCGCAGGCGGGGTTACCATACCATTTTCACCCATCAAAAAAAAATATTGTAGATAGTTATAAAGTCAATTTCTACATATTTTAGAAGTATAAAAACATTTAACTGTCTTAAAAAATGGGTTTCAATTTTACTGTTTTTTGTATGTGTAATAAATACAATTTTCGTCGAATTATCACCGAATATTTTTGCGATCAATACTCTACTCGATATTCTCGTATTGAATTTACACTAACTTTTACTCTATTAAAGCCATTATAGTACTGTCACCCACACACAATCGTCGGCGCGAAATTAAATATTCAAACCGCTTTTCACAGTTCGATAGTTCCAGAAACATTCCTGTCAAGCAGCAAGATTACTTTATTCGATATCTATGAAAACAAGACCTCGCATTTCTCTTTCCACGTTCGCAATAAACATCTATACAATTCAAACAATTCGATTTCCTATGAAAATATACCGTTTTCAATAGAAATAAAAATCATTAACACCTATTCAATATACATTTTGCAGTGTTTCGAAGTGTAAAAATCCCTTTGGCAGTTTTTGAAACATCACTTGTGCTGGAAAGGTCAATACATGGAGGGTCGCAGCGGAAGTATTTTTTTATTTCATAGCGGACGATGCGGGGTTTTATGTTTCCTGGAAAGGAGGCCGGTACACAGTTGTAGGCAGATATTTTATGCAAATATTTTCGGTGGAAGTGATTTTTTGTCCAAGTGAGGCCACAGTCTAAAAAAATCTCTTTTTAACCAGTCATTCAACGAAGCCGCTTAGACAGAGTAATACATCTCGAATTATCATGTAATCGTGCGTGAGATCTCAAAGGCTAACAAGTGTTCCATATTATTAGAATGAGGAAGGAGATTTTGAATAAAAGTCGTCAGCAATGCTACCACTATTCCATACCTTGCAGCTAATTTTGATTGATAAGTATGATTATTCCAATATTCCTTAATTATTCACTAAGTTTCGTTTTGAAAGGTGGTACATAGCAGGAAAATGACTGGATACAGAAACATCTTACCTTAGATTTAATTTATTTATCTATTTACTCTCTATTGATCACATTACAAAAAATCTTTGGTACAAAAAACGGGTTAAATGCTATACCTATAACATTTTCTCCCAGTCAACCTTTGGCAAAACAGAAATGTAATTATGAGATGAAAAATTGAAAATTTTTGCAAAAAAATAGTTACAGACATATCCGTATTGATTTACATGAATACATTAAACAAATTTTATAATATATATCATATTAATTATATTTCATATGGTGTATTTTCCTTTACAGCTTCCTAGTATTCCTTTTACAATCTCTAGGTGAATGCCGTGCCTTTATGGCTTCTGTACAATTTCGAAGGTGTCGATTCACTGTTTGGTAACCGATAGTTTCATATTGCATTTTAAGGAAACCATACATTTTACGTACGGTACGGTCAAATTAAAAGGTAATATTACATTTATTCCCGAGAGTCTCTTTGAGTGATAGAATCCGAAACGAGGATATCCGCCAAAGAACCAAAATAACCGACATAGCCCGAAGGATAAACAAGCTAATGTGGCAATGGGCTGGTCACATAGCTCGAAGAACCGACAACCAATAGGGAAGAAAGGTTCTAAAGTGGCGACCACGTACGGGTAAACGCAGTGTAGGATGACCCTCTACTAGATGGGGTGACGATTTGAAATGCGTTGCAGAGAGTCAGTGGATGCAGGTAGCTCCGGACCGTTCTTTATGGCAGTCTATGGGGGAGGCTTATGTCCAGCAGTGGACGAATAATGGCTGAAATGATGATGATGATGCATAGACTAGGAAAATAATCTAAATATTTTCGAGTATAATAAAAATATCATCTAGCTATTCATTGTCTACTTTTGTAGTATGTTTATCTATCTCCGCTCGGTCCAGGTTGGTTGGCATTTTTATCCGACGATGATAAAATAAAAGTAATACAGCCAAAATAACTCTCTCTAATATAATAAAATTGTAACTAGACGATGCTTGTACATAAGAGATATTTAAGACAAATTGATATGAGGGGTTTCAATAAGAGCGATAGAAGCCAAAACAACAACTTTTAGAAATGTTGTTTACGTATTCATTTGTCTGTATATTTGTTTCGGTGTCAAGAAAAAACTACTGCACCAAATTGGATGCGATTTTTTTAAAGGTTTAATTTAAAACCAAGTGTATGTCGCATCTTGATATCTCATCTAGAAGCGATATATTTTATTGGTTTTCCTATTTCTGAAATCTACGTGTACAAAGTAACGGGCAAAAAGTAAAAAGTTAGTGTTACATAAAATCTAATAATATACAGTATTTGTATGGGTATACACTACTTTTGTATACAACTGTATAGTTGTATAAAGCCAATACGCGGTTTAATTACTTCGCCAGCTAGCAACTACGCCTTCTTAGACAAACCTTGGACAAATGTTGGCCGTTGGCTAATTAAAATTTTATTGCAAGTGTTCGGATGTCTGAAGTTTGAGTGGATTGCCTTATAATTGAGTTCGCCATCAATTAGTACAGAGTGATTGCGTAATTACAATATTACAGTCAGTTTCGCAGCAACTATAGTTTAAATAAAATATTACTTTGGGAATTTATATCTATTTTACTTCGGGATTTATATCTATTGCAGCTCTTGTCGCATTTATCTTTGGACACATGCCTCCTCTTCATCTTATTATGCCTATCTTTTGCCACTTGCATCCACTTGGTTCTGTCTTACTAGTGAATATCATCTGACCATCTCTTAAGTGGTCAAGGTGATGAATTTATATAAAAGTAAATAAATTAAATTAAATAGCCCTTTATTCAGTCAAAGAAGCTTACTAAAATTATACATATAAAATTTTATCTTTGTTAAATATAAATTTATTTATTTATATGCTGTAAACCAGCGCTGTGCAGCTGTTCATATTGCGCTGGGACACACACAACATCAGCTGAGCCGGTTCCTTTTGCCTAGTATGGGGCATTTCTTATATATGTATTTTCTATATTTTATATTGTGATTGTGTGTTTACTGGCAATGTTTTCTATTCTATTCTATTTAAAAAAATTAATCTGTAGTTTTAATTTCCTAGTTCCCCATGGCGTATCCTATCGTTCGACGAAATCCCTTATTGTGGAATTCCCTTTCCATGCTCGTCTACAGGTGACGGCTTTCCATCAGGTGGGCTATCAACTTGTTGGCTATTCTAAATTTCTTAATAAAATATAAATAAGTAGCTGAGCAACATTATCATCGTATCATGATTTTGTGTGTTCTCAAATCATATTAATAATGATTTGTAAGCTCATAATAAGTACTATCCATATTATTTCTCATTTGTATTATTGGTTTTCTCATGGCGTTTTTATGAAACGGTGATTGCAATCCTAATCTTACTAATATAATTAATTAATAAAATTGTAATTACACGATGCATATACGAGTACATGAGAAATATTTAAGAAAAATTTATATGAGGGGACTTCATAAAACCTGTTTGTATATATGTTGCGGCATCATGCGAACACTATTAAGCCAAAATGGATACGGTATTGGTAGTTATATTCCTGAAAGTTTACCCTTAAATCTGGTATGCGTTTTACCTTAATACGCCATCTAGAAGTGAACTGTTCCATTGATTCTCAAATTCAAAGAAGCAGGTACGTACTGTTTACCTGAAAAAAGTTCTCATCGTGTTAAGTCCCCATAGTGTATTTGAAATATGTAAATACAACGTGAAAGTTTAAGTTTAAGTTTAAGTTCAATAGAAGGAACTCATAAAATCTTATACAATATCATATCATCATCGTATCAGCTATTAACTGCCCACTGCTGTACACAGGTCTCCCCCTTGGGGGGTTTTTCTAGTAATTGCCATGCTTGGCAGACGGATTGGCAACCGCAGTTAGGCTTTGACGACATTTTAAGAGGGTCGCTGCTGCCCATACTATTGAGCATTAAGCTATATATAGTTTGATCGTTAAAATTATTGGTGGATTGGTTAAACAAATAAGGCAAAAAATAAATAAGGCAATTCAAAATATTTTTAATTAGGACGCATCTTTGAGCCAATTGCCCAGTTTATAATTGTCTGACCTTCAATACTATTATATTAATAAAGTTCTGGACTCTTATTCGCAAGGAACGCGTCAAATATTTAAGCCCAGGGACTTTCTTGTTTGACAGAGACGTCAGTCAAAGGGTCATTTAGAGATTCCTCGTCATAATTCTCGTGTACCTCTCTCATTGTTTGCGGTGAGTTTATAGACTCAGGAGGGCGTCCGTCACTAATAATCGTCTCGTATCTAGCGAATAACGTCGCTATTTCCAACTTCAACATAGTTTGCATTCTACTTGGCAGTGTTTTGAAAGTTTGGGAATAACTTAAAAAGAAAAGATCCGTTCCATCTAATTTCTCAATTAAGCCACATCTCTCGTTAGGTAACTGTGGATTATTTTGTAGCGTTCCGCTAATCTTTGAACTGTCAATGCTCTCGAAACCTTCGCCAGAATCTTGGAATTCTTCAACGGGAGAATTTTCAATAACCGCATTATGATGTGAATCCCGATTATACATTTCTGCGAGGTCATCTTGATTAATACGCCTGATTTCTATTGTCTTTTTCGCAGTATTATAATTATCTAAAAACTTCATGTTGTCAGCCCAAGGCCAATTTTTGTACTTCTTATATGCTTGTCCAGCGGAAGTTTCGTTGTATTTCTTATATTTGGTGTAATTATCTTTCAGGCCCTTCCATTTGTAGCGCCAGAGAGAAACTGAGGTCAAAAGAAACAAATAGTTAATTAGATTACAATTCTATTCTGAAGATTTCAAAGACAAGAAAGAATGATTAGAAAGTAATTTTTAGAAATAATTTTTATTTATACTATACTATAGAATATGTAATTTACACTTTACTAGATTTTACCCGCGGCTTCCTTCGCGTGACTGGAATATGTTCATTACGATAAAAAGTAACCTGCATCCTTCTTCATCGCATATACATGGTGTTTAACAAATTTCACAGTAATCGATAAAATAGTTAAGGAGCTAAGAGGTAACAAACAAATAAACTCATATTCAAATCCTTACAATAATATTATAAAAAAAGTTTGTTACTTAGTTTGTTATCTATTAACGTCAAAATGTATATCCTTCAAAGAATGATACACATTAAATATAACGTTCAACCATATAAACATACACAAAAGGGATAATTAATTACATAAACTTTATTACATAAAAGCAAGACAAAGATATAACAATGGGCAGCGTTATCGTTAAATTACGATCTCTTTCAAGCAATTTTAGGATGGAGAGGAATAATTAAAATGTGTCTGGTCAAGGCATAACAGAAAAATTGTAAGACTAAAAAAGGGAGAAGAAAGGAACTAAAGATATAATATTAAGTCTCACCGTCATTCGAGCCCATTTCCTTTGCTATATCAAGCCAGGCTTTCGCTTTTTTAACACGATTTTTATTATCAACATCACATAAATCGTACAGTAAAGGTCTCTGTTTAACTAACTCAATTAATTTTTCTTGTTGCTTGCTCAAAGTCAATATGGACGTCATATTTGATTTTTTTTTGTATTGTATTATTAGTTTAGAACGTTAAACGATCATTCTTGTTGACCGCCGCGATCTCACTGCGTTAGCGAATAGCAAGCGGGTAGGCGATAGCGCGTCGCATAAAGATCATAGCGTTCCTAGTGACGTCAATATTTTGTATTAGGGCATTGAACTCTGAACGCAAAATATAGAACGCATAGTCTCTTTTTCTTTTTTAAGTATTTAAAAGTAGTTTATATATGTATATTACAAGCTTTTACATTTTATAGAAATACTGTAAAAATCTCAACCGATTTGGTGTTAGTAGTTTGCGTGATGCTGAAACAAACATACTGATAGACAGACAGAAAAAAAATCTAAAAGTATTATTTTGGTGTCTATTGGTCTTTTTAAAGTAACAATTTGTATGTTACATGTATGATTAAAGGCGACTAAGGGAATTTAATGGTCGTGGGTTGGGTAGTGTTTAAAAAGTTTTTATATATTGACATTTGTAGTTTTTTATAAAAAAGAATATTTATAAACAATTGAAAATAAAACAATATATACAATATTTCAAGTCAACAGATGGTATTTTTACTTACAAATAATAAATAACAATATATAATAACAAGAACCAGCATATTTTACAAACAGGTAGCAGCCTAGCAACGTCCTTCTTAAAACATTATCAAAGCCTAACTGCCTGCCATGCGTGGCAACTACTGACAGAAATCCTCTTATGAGGGAGGTCTATGTCCAAGTTGGAACATTTAATGATTGGTATAATAATAATGTACTTTTAACAATAACAATAATGATAAAATATAAGTTACGTAGATATATGTACCTATATGTAGATGTATGTAGGTGTAGACGTATGAAGATGATGTACATTTTATTTCAGCCGTTAACTGTCCACCGCTGTACATAAGCCTTCGCAATAAGGGGTATTTTGGCAGTACTTGCCACGCTTGGCAGGCGGGTTGGCAACTACAGTTAGGCCTTCGAGGATGTGTTAAGAAGGACGCTGTTGCCCATGCCTCATCTTCCCTTAGTCGCCTCTTACGAAACCCATGGGAAAGGAAGGGGTGGCCCATTCTATGCCGGGGCACACACGGCGAGATGATGTACATAAGTGTGTATAATTTACAATAAAATTTAAGTCGCTCGAGTAGTTTCATTTTTATATTAAATGAGCATTGTCCTATTCGTGTTTCAACCGTGAAGCAGTTGTGTTTGCATGGCTGCGTTTCAGTTTGAAGGGTGGGATATGGCGTGAATTTACTAAGTACAGAGGAATAACACCTGAGTCCTCAGGAATGGCAACGCATGGGGGGTATCATAGGCGAAACAGTATATTCTGTTATGTCCATGGTACTGCTCAATTTAACTATGTTTAAAAATATAATATTATCCCTACTATTATTGTAAATGTGAAACGAACGAGTTTCTTTTTAGTGTGCTAACTGTCGAGGTCACGGAATTTAGCATACTACCAATTGGGATAAAGGATACTTTTCAAGGCTACTTTTCATCTCGGTCTATTAATACATCCCGGTTGCATGGACGAGTAAAAACTAGCCTTATTAATAGTTATAATAAAATTGTAATTAGACGATGACTGTACATGGGAGATATTAGAGAAAAATTAATATGAGGGTCTTAGCATGACTAATGGAAGGCAAAACAATAATTTTTAGATATTTTGTTTGTCTGTGTGTATTTTTGTTGTGGCATTAAATTTGGATGTGGTTCATACAGTTTTTTCTTTATTTTTTTTTGAGTTTGCACTGAGAATTTTACTTAAAATCAGGTGTATGTTGATATGCCATCTAGATTGTCAATTTCATTGGTTTTCCTACTTATGAAACTACGCGTGCGAAGTACGAAATAAATTTGAAACAAGTGTTAAAATTAAATTTAATCATAAAACATACCCATCTTGGAGTTTCAATGGCACAACCACTCTATATTAATTCGCAGGCTTATTTCAACATTTAACAACGGACAAATTCCACGCGACTTGTTTCACGGATTATGAGGGGAGATAATTAGGGTGGAATATCATTTCTCGACTTCTTCCGACTTTTGATTGATGCTAACTTACGCACCAAGTGTTACGCAATTTATCCTTCGTTTGCACTCCGCTTCAAGTTGACAGTAGGCGCTTCGTAAGTATATGATATGTCTACATATAAATGTATGCAAATATAAGGCTTCATTTATTTTCAACCGACTTCAAAAAAAGGAGATTCTCAATTCGGTTGTATGTAACATACAATATATAACTCATAATCATAACTCCGTCAGTTATGAACGGATTTGAAAAATTCTTTTTTTATTTGAAAGGATGGGACATAGAGTATGATCACATAGAAATAGTATTGGTTCACTAGTTCAGTTTTTAGATCAAAATAACTAATGTCACATTCGAAGTCTGTTTTTTTTGCGGGACACAATCTTAAATTGTTATGGTTATTTTTGTACGAGATTTTTACCTTTTTAAAAGGACGGCAGCACACCTGCAATGCCGTTGGTGTTGTGGGTGATCACGTGCGGCGGTAGTCACTTACCATCAATGAGCCGCATGCTCGTTTGCCCCCTGTGTTGTAAAAGAAAACCTATTATATTATAACGGTTTTTTTCCCTTTTTAGTGTCCTCAGATAAACTTAGGGTTTTTAATACATACTAATGAGTATGCTTAAATTGAATAATAAGTAATATACTTATTCAACTAATAATTTAAATAGTATCTATACTGGAAAGAATTTGGAAAGAATAGAATCGCCACAAGATTCTGATTAGGTCAATAGTGCTCGACATATACAGTCATATTTACCATTTTCCAGCAGATGAGGCATCTGCTTGTTTGCAAAAGGCAAAAGTTACGTTACTTTAATTAGTTGAACTTAATATTTACATTGAGAATACTTCATGCAGCAAAGAGAATTACGCGATTACATCTTTTATGGCGTGCCATTTGGCCAAAACCGGTTTAGTGGGAGATTCATAAAGAGCTGGCGCAGCGCCAGGCAGCCGCTCCGAATTTCACGGTTCTCTTCACATGGCCGTATCAGCCGTTCTTAGATAACCTTCTTTCCTTTATTTCTGTTTACACAGTCCATTTCGGAGATGGTCAAGTAAAATGTAATTATTGTATGACAAATTAGGGACTTATATAGTCCTTAATTTGCTCCTAATAATCTTAACTCCCGTAAATATATTTTTATCTTTGACAATAGTAATGTATATTGTTTTATCCAACTTTTCTAAGTTGAGTTGTTAAGTTGGCTGATGGTCCACTTGATGAAAAGTAGTAACCATCGCTTATAGATATGAACAGTAAGTACTATGGACATCAAAGAGTATACTGTGTGGCCCGAGATACCTATTATACGTTGCCATTCCTGAAGACTAAGTTGTTATACCTCTGTAACCTCGTAATTTCGCTGCCATATCTTCTTGTCCTCCAAAGCGAAATACAGCCATGAAAACACAACTCTTGAAGGAGACAGATGTACCCAAACAGATGAATTATGTACAAGGTCTCCCTTTGGTTGTTACCCACCCTAATGTCTAATTACATTAATATATTTTTTTTATTTTAGATTACCAACTTGTATATAGGTACCTACCGTGGTACTGTCCGTTAACCTATCTAAATGTAAAATAAAATAACTGAAACATGCAGCTTTTTGAATAAATATATATCTAATATTTGTGTCACCACATATTTCGTCGTTCGGATAGATAGGTAGCTGTGTAACTGATATTCAATTAGGCATAAAAATGATTTTTTTTTAAGTTTAACATGGTGGGTACAACAAATAGACCCTTAATCCCAATGATTCGTGGTCTTTTTACGCATTATTCAAATTATCTGTAATACGGATTCGTATCATTATAAATAATCTAAAGGACCTCGAGATTTCTATTAGTAATGACATCTAGATTTACCTTATGCTATATTTATTTGAAATAGGTACCTATTTCATAATTTTACAGATGTTATAAACGTAATAGACAGTAACGTAATAGACAATAAAGATTTCTGTCTTGATCTGTGTTCTAAATCTGTTAATGACGGCCAGGTTTCAAAAGAATTTTACACCTGGAAATTCTACAAAGATAAGGATCATTTTCCAGGAAATTAAATAATGCCGTTTGTAAGGTAGGTAGGTAATTACGGTCGGAAGATAGAGTTTTTTAGTGAATTGAGGACGGGCCTAATATCAGCGACAGATAGATAATTGGCGGTGGAGTTTTCTTGTTAAAAGAAATCTTCCGATAGTCCATTTTAAGAATAATTCCATTTGTAGAAATGATCTTCTTTATGTTATAATGAATGAATGAATGAATTTCTTTATGTTAGATATTAGAACGATTGATTTGGGGTAGTAAGAGTAATAGTAATTCATATAGAACATTTCTGTAGTCTCCCTTAGGTGGTGTTTAGATGCTGTGATATTATTTAACAAATATCGACTGTCGTGCCTATAGTTTAAATATATAAAAAGGACAAGCATAGGGCATGCTTGTCCTTTTGTTATATTTAAATGTTTATTGATCCTTATTAATATTATGAATGAAAAAGTGAGTGTTTTAATCCATCACTATGTGGTGCACATGTAATATAAGGGATGAAGGACATAGCCTTTTAATCTTGGTCCGTGAATACGCATATATGCCGGTCACGCAGACCAAGTCATGGATAAATGCTAGTGCAGTAATAGAAACAGAATATAGAACAAACGTTTACAGTATTTAAAAATTACTTGTTAATTTCAGAAATATTATAAAACTCGAGTACATATAAAGTTGCCGATTCGAATGAAAGGCTAAGGGCGCAGCAAATAAAACAAAGCCAAACGGTCAAAAGGTTAACCGGGAGAGTCGGCAACTAGTTTGCCATTTCGATTAGTAAAGTTCGCATGACCCACTAATACTGCTGATTTAATTCCACTAGCTACACATTGTAGCGATATGTTGTATCAGTTTCATGTTCTAACTTCCTATTCACGGTCTCGCTTCCAGTGATCCAGTGACTCGTGCTTGTTGTTTACAGATAGGCAACTCTGCAAACTGCAGAGTTCTGTTCTCAATGACATTGAGTTAAATTAACGACCTATTTTTGTTATATTGACATTCTCATAAAACCTTTTCTTTGTCGTAAATATATAGTAGATTTTTTTTATACAACTTAGAATGCCAAACAAGCTGACGGCCCACCTGATGAAAAGTGGTAACCGTCGCCTATAGACATGAGCAGTACTATGGGCATAACAGAGTATACTGTTTCGCCCATGATACCTCCGATGCGTTGCCATTCCTGAGGACTCAGGTGTTATTCCTCCGTACCCAGTAAATTCACGCCATATCCCACCCTTCAAACCGAACTTATTTTTGGTATGACGACAATCGACATTAAAAACTTTAAATTTGTAAATATTTCGTATTAAATTAAAACTGTATGATTATTTTGTTACAAATAATACCTTACTTAATCTTTATAGAGTATAACAGGTATATTTATTAATTTGTACATGCGAGGTAGACACTGAACTATTGATTTTATTATGCACGTTATTTATCTAGATTAGAATATACAAGCCTAACAATTTTTTTTTGATAGGTGAAAATTTTATGGTAGCCCCGCCTGCGCTAATGGGATACGCTGGCGGAGCACCAGTGAAGGGTGATAGATGAAAATGAAAACAGGCCAGTTAGCCCATTATGCTGAATTGATCAGGAATTAACCATGATAGTTTCCAGGGACAACCGCGAGGAGGTCGACCTGGTTGGGTATATTGCTAGCAATAGGATTCTCGGTCTCCATTACTAACAATCCCTTTTCCCCCAAAGGCCTAACAATTGATCATATTTAGAATAATAAAAATCGGTTCAGATATACAAAAAAGCAATCGTATAAAAAATCTTTCCCCTTTCTAAGTTGATTTAAAATATAAATACAAATTTGAAATCTCTTGAGAGCATTAGTTGGCCCACAACATGTCTAATTATCAGATTACATAATGTCACCATCTGTAACTTTGTAATTAGCGGGTAGCTACGATCCCTCCTAAAATGTCTCTTTCCATTAATAGAATATATCCTATTTATAGAATATTCTGGAAGTCGAATGGCTTTCGACGTCGAAACAGATTAAGCGATTTCAAATAAATTATTCAGTAATGCTTCATAATTAATATATATTATATTGTCCGAATGGGTAAGTCCAATTTCGACCGAGAGTACGCCACATCTTTTCATCCAAAATACCTCAGACTTTGAAGACAAAGGTCTTGAACCAGTGCGTGTTGCCAGTGATGACTTACGGAACCGAAACGTAGTCCTACACGATTGCCCATATGCAAAAGCTACAAGTTACTCAGCGGGCTATGCTCGGAGTCTTTTTGCGTGATAGAATCGGAAACGAGGATATCCGCAAAAGAACCAAAATAACCGACATAGCCCGAAGGATAAGCAAGCTAATGTGGCAATGGGCTGGTCACATAGCTCGATGAACCGACAACCGATGGGGAAGAAAGGTTCTTGAGTGGTGACCACGTACGGATAAACGCAGTGTAAGATGACCCCCCTACTAGATGGAATGACGATCTAGATGGAATGGATATTTTATGTTTGAACAAACTTTCGTATTCTGGGAATTTTAACTTTTTTAACGTAGATTTAGTAACGTTATTAATATCATCATCATGGCAGTCCGTAACTGTCTACTGTTGAACATAAGTCTCCCACTTGGGGAGGTTTGCCAGTAGTTGCCACGCTTAGCAAGCCGAATGGCAACCGCAGTCAGGCTTTACAAATGTTTTAAGAGGAACGCTGCTACCCATCCCTCGCCCTTCCTTAGTCGACTCTTACGACACCCATGGGATAGGAACTGGTGGCCTATTCTACGCGGGACCACTCCGCCAGTTAAAATGTTGCACCATAATATAAGGGATTTTGTTTCTGCCTATCCTAATGGGAGACATGTATGATGTATCAATAAAACACAGTTTTTCATTAAGAAATAAAAACTTTTATTATTATCAGTTCAAATATCGTATTTACATTCTTTTGAACGAGTAAAAGCACATTGTTTATACATTAGAAAATAATAAAAAAAAAATCATTACTATATATCAGCAGAAATTCCGTAAAATAATAGTTAATACAACTTATGAATTACAATTAAATGTAAAGAAAATAAATCTCATCATTCCGTGTATTTCGGAACTCATAGAAACAGCAATGGCAACTCGTAGGATAGTAGAAACTAAGAAACCAAATGCCTTCACAGTAGCGGGTGTTAATACTTCCATTAGCATATTTATTACTTGTCACGGCGTAAAACCAAGATTTGAAGAATTGAAAGTCGAACAGGTGTGTTACACGACGTTGGAACGAGCCGTTTCAATGATTCAACTCAATTTAATCACTGAAATTGAATTAAATCAATTCGACCTCAGAAATTAAACATATTTAATTTAACTGGAATTAAATCTAATCAATTTGCCCGTTGAAAATCAACATGCCGCTACTGCGAAGGTTTTTAACTAAAATTAATTGCATAATTATTTACACAATTCGTTCCATCGTATCCTCTAATGTAGCAAACGTAGACATTAACATCAGTTCTTCATCATACAAATGCAAATTATGTATACAATAGAATTTTCACTATTTTCATTTATAAATGCTCATGTAATCTCGTATCATTTATATGTTACATACGCACGAGGTGCGCTCTGTGCCTCACTCAACGGGTGAATTATTAACTTGCCTCACTCCCTAACTGTAGGGCTCCTTTGGCGGTCGAAGCGGAAGCAAGAGCGATTTTATTGATTAAATTTGCGATTTCATGATTTTAATATCATTATCAAAAGTAAGTATTACAAGTGTAGAGAGAATGCTAAATTAATTATAATTACAGTGTCATGTCTTTAACAATTGCTTTCGAATTCAGTATTTTTGGTATGCCATTAACACGTCGTCTCATGCAAAAGTAATCCTCGCCTTTGATATTTTAAACGCACCCTTTAATTCCTTTATCGCTGCCGCTTCACCGCTGTCGGGGCCCTAACTTAAATTACATATAGACAAAATTCAACAAATCATGTACACGGTAAATATTGCGTTTCACGATCTATACAAATTTACGTACTATTTTGGTGTTCGGAGCCGAATATATTACAACGCGTCGAGGCGAGAGCGGCGCTAGAATTTGTGACCATACCATAAACCGTTGCCTTTATAATTTCGTAGCGTCCAGCGCCGCTCCCGCTGTAACGTATCTAAAGCTCGGTACATGCCTAACACTAAGTAGATCTACACTCACTAGTATTCTCCGCGCACACTGACAACTTGACTTTATTTAGCTTAGTTGACGATTTTATAATTTACTGTAACATAACCCAATTACAATTTTATTGTCACGATATAAAAGATAAACAAAATAAAATGATTTTAAGTTCTCGTCGGCGATAATACCAAAGAGATTATCGTACGAAATGTAAATTGGACTCTCTTTTTCACGCTTAGCCTCTCATTTGGGCCGTTGTGCGTAGAGTAGTGGCTAGTACAGCCAGCCCAGCGCCGACCAGAAGCACAGAAGTTTCCTGGAATCTTCACAAGCCTCACGGTTCCGAGGATTTCTAAACGTTGAGGGGCCACAGCTTCATTTTCCAGGATTACGTTAGCAGCCGTTTTTTCAGCGTTAAAACAGCCTCGACATAGAGGGCCGTCTCTGGCTCCTATTGTATATAAATGTTTGTTTATTGGGCAATGGCCCGTTATTGTCCCTATTATTGTTTTTATCAGTAACCAGTCTTTGGTTTTGTATGTCAGTGGATTTTTGAAGAATTAATGTCCAAAACTGCGAGAACGGAAGAGAAAGAAGTGGGTACCTTTAGTACCGTATATATACATCTACAATATTATATCGTGACGATAAAATCATGTCTCATCATCATCATTATCATATCAGCCGTTAACCGTCCACTGCTGAACATTGGCCTCCCCCCATTAGGGGGTTTCGCCAGTAGTTGCCACACTTAGCAGGTGGATTGGTGACTGCAGTTAGACTTTGATGATGTTTTACAAGGGACGCTGCTGCCAATTCTTCGGCCTTGTGTTTGGTTACGATAAATTATAAAAAAAAATACATGTTTATGACTTAATTAACTTCTACAATGCGTAATGGTTAAGTTTCAAATTGTACTAATTAAAATTGTAAGATAAATGTAATTGAAATTTTGTATAAAACACTCGGATATGTAATTCTAACCAGAACAGCAGTGAAAAGGTTTAAAATGAATTACGAATTCATTAAGAAATACTAAAACTATTAAGCATTTAGTTATTTATTTTGAAATATTTCAGAGCTTTCAATAATACTATCTGTTACTACAGAGTAGGAACGAATAGCACGTTTGAATTGGAAAGTGATTCTATTATTGGAATAGTTATTTCCAGAATAGAATTCCAAAGAACACAAGGACTAGAAAGTGAATATGTTCTGGTTTCAGACTTACTGTGTTGTCGTAAATAGTATTATTATTGGGAGAACATTATAGATATGTCTATTTATATGTGTGTAGTGAAAATTCTAGAATTAGCTGATTCAGTTAGATTATTATTTTAATAACCTGAACTTAAAGCACGTTTCGATTGGATCTAATACTATGTTGAAATCATAGACACTTAGACCGGGTCCACACTATAATACTGATCTCGACTCGTTCTCGATTCGATCTCGGTCTGATAAAATATTATTACTAAGTAAGAAACAATATGTATATTCCTACTAGAGTTCAGTCCCATTTCATTCCAGTCACGATCAATCTCGAATTATTTCTAGTGACCATTACCGAGATCGAATCGAGAACGAAACGAGAACTGGTATCATAGTGTGGATCCAGCCTTACCAGCAATAGGGGAGGGCGATTATATTAAACCATTCAAAAGTAGAAGAGTTGCCGGAATATATTTCGTATACAAGTTGCCAATGTGCCGGACACTACAATACATTGCACTCCTAATCTTACATTGTGAGGGACCACTAAAATTCGACTAACTGGTTAATTTCACTAATGTTTTTAGTCTAGACGGAATCTACTCCCATCTACTCTACGCGTCTCTCATACAGCCACGAAGAATTAAATTTTATTATAGTTCTCGAATCGAATTCCCTTAACGTATTCACGATACAATATACAGTAGGACGGTCCCACACTTTTATATATTTGAGATCTGTGACGATATTAAATTAATTTTGGTAATAGATATTTCTCCTGTCAATTCGCATGTATCACTGAAAATAGTCGATGCAAGTGCTAATAGCGTGAGGTCTCATTGCGCAATTACCACAACCATTTTTTTTTTATTGAAATTAATTCATATTTGCTGAGGAACACGTATCCGCCCGGTTGAAAATCAACGCTTATTCAAAGTTTGACTAATTTAACAGCCGTCTTTTAATAATTTGCCATTCTATACCATAAAAAACGTCATAAAAATACACATGTAATTATTGCTTTTCAGTCAAAATCTATTATTACTTGTATAGTATATTATAGGCCTAGTAATAAAGGAAACGTACATAAAAATAATTTATAGAAAAATTATAAAACAGATGGGCATGGTAATCTCGCAACGAGACCTCGTGTTATAACGCGTGTCGCTATGTGAGAAGCTACAGCGGCGTGCTTGTTGTAGGTACTAGCAATATTATACTGGCCACACATCTCCTCGCCACCCTAACGTTACTATTTGAGCACCGTGGAAGGAATGTGTGCATAAGATTGAGGTGAACGCAGTGAATTGTTCCAGCACCATACTACGAGTCCCGCTTAATTTATACGACCACAGAGCAAGTAATCACTACGTTAAAAGTCGGCACTGTTTTACTTCTAATTACTCGAAACATAGATTGATACCGGTATTTTACGGACTCGTAGTACAGTACTTCAGATTAACCGTATATTTTCATAAGACTGCATTAGAGTAAACTTCGTCGTCCCTTAATAAATATAAATAAACATCTTCAACATTTTTACCAAATTATGAGCATATATCCAGCATAAAAATCTTTTAAAATAACACGTCATACTCTTCTCAATTATAGATATACATGGCACACTGCTCTGTTATATATTTATACATATATAATTCGTACACTCGATACCTATCAGTTTACCTTGTCACCATAGAATAATTGAATTATATGGATGGATATTCAGTTAGAAGCTAGCAAGCGCTTAAATATCATGTCGACGTAGCAGACGACGGATGGACAAATAATAAGGTTTTGAAATAAAAACGAATACTGTCGCTGGCATTCGATGCCCGTTCGAACAATTTTAAACTAGACGAGAGAACTATCACGAAATTTTGGTCCACCAAAAACGAGTCAACCAGATTTCAATACATTAAAACTATAGGAATTGAAACATGCTATTATAACTATCGGATAAAGCTCGCTTTCTATGCATAGTGTCGGTCGGAGCGACCTTAAGTAGGACTAGTGTGATGTTGTGTTGGGTCGATGTGACCTTACAGGTTGGTCGAAGTGTCCTGCTGGTTGGACCGACCGGCGAGCTGCGTATGCAGACAAACGAATTGTAACAGATTCAACTAAGGTACGTGGGTCGGTGGGTCGCTCACTTGATGGCGGCGTGCCGCGTTTCCGGGTGCATGCAAACGCCCTCCACTGTGAATATTGATACCTCTGTAACAATATATATATATACATTAGCTATATGACTTTACAGCACAGGATAGTATAAAAGGGTTTGAAAAGCCTATAAGCTATTCTTGAGGATTATGTTGGGTTAAGTATGTTGGGCATGGCAATATATTCTATAACGTAATGATGCTGTTCTTATTTGCTGACTACAGTTACCACTTTAGATTAGGGAGGCCATCAGCGTGTTTACCATTCAAGTTTATAAAGAATAGTCAAAATAAAATTAATTTCAAAATTTTTTAAATTTTGTTTATAATTTGTCATAAATACTATAGTGCTAATTTGAGTACTAATTATAGTGAAAATGCTTTTATTTACCATCAATTTTATACATTTTTTACTACTCACCATCGGGCAACTCCCTAAGCCGAGGAGGCAGTGGCGCAAAGTACACATGGTGCAACGCCCGGTCGGCGGCGAGCCGGCGGCACGGGTCTGGCTGTAGCAGCGAGGCGGCTAGTCGTTCAGCGTCTCGCCCGCCGTCACGTAGCCGCGGGAATGCCGAGCCGAGCGGCCGGGCCGGGCACGATCCCCATCGGGACACGTGCGTCCGCAGCCCTGGGAGGCGGCTCACACCTGACCAGCTCTCTTCCGTCGGTGTGCCCACCACCTGTAGACCATGGAGGTTAGTATTTCACTTTATAGGTTAAGATCCCGTTGCTGATTTCTACAGAAACCATCAGCGGAATCTAAACCTAAAAAATGATTTTTAAGAAAACTTCCGTTCCTCAAAGAAAATGGAATTTATTTAAATTGTGTATGTATATTATACACAATTTTTGAAGTCTTTAAATATTTTCTTCATTTCTCTACAAGTCAGACTTAATGCTAAAAGCATTCTCCCTCAGTCAACCTTCAGTTTAGAAACTTTCAAATTACGAGCAGAATTTACTAACTTTTAAAATTAATGTATTTTACCGGTGAAGTTCAGTCATTTTTGATAATTAAATTTGCTTCAAGATAATGTTATATTTATTGGATACCTATCTCTATGAACAATGGACGCGATGTGATGTAATACTGTATATACTGTATATATTTGATCGTATGGAGAATATATATATATATATATATATATATATATATATATATATATATATATATATATATATATATATATATATATATATATATCAACTAGAATATAAAAATACAAATATATAAAAAACACTGGCTGATCAAGTTGCCAGCTACACTGAATGTTTTCAAATAAAGAAATAATTTTAAACTTCCTTTTTATATAAACCACTTTGTACAGTGGGTTACTCATATTATCATCAGGTCGCAAACTATAATCTTTCTTACCTTGAATATCTTATCGAGTTGGTCGTGTGTATCCCTTACTCCCGGAAAGGTGGGCACACCGCACAACATCTCGACGAATATGCACCCAACGCCCCACATGTCCAATGACGTCGAGTATTCTGTACTGCCTAATAACACATCTGTGTGGACAAACAGAAATAATTTATTGTTATCTGTCATTAAAAATCAGCTGAATCCTGCTTGAAATAAAAAAGTATCCCCTGTATTTATCTAAAACATGGTTTATATGTGAATATGGCCTTGAGTTAAAGAAACAAATCTTAATATGGCGATCATGTAGATACCAACATTAGAACCGAAAAATTGAGTCTCAGAATTTATGTACCATTACGTTTTTACAGAATTTTGCATAGACTGGGCCACCCTCTTCTTTTCCTGGGTGTCGTAAGAGGCGATTAAGGGAATTTCATTGTCGAAGGATGGGCTGCAGCATTCCTTTTAAAATATCACCCAGACCTAATTGCGGTTGCCACGCTTGGCAGGCCGTTTGGCAACCGTAATGAGGTCTTGGTGATGTTTTTTAATGGGCGGTTGCCAATCCGCCTGCCAAGCGTGGCAACTACTGGCGAAACCCTCCAATAGGGGGAGGCCTATATCAGCAATGGACACTTAAAGGATAATATGGTATGGTAATGATAACAGTACTTTCTTTATTCATGAAATAAAATAATGAATTTAAGAATGGCACTATAAAACATTAAACGAAGCCAACTAGTTCATACAAAGTTATTCATACTCTCTCCAATAAAGTCCGTTGATCCGTTTAAGCGGTATAAATAATAAACATCGAAACATCTTTAAAAGTGTTCATATTTATCTTTTACTCTCACATTAATCCATCTTCAGTCCAGGTATTTTACGGGACTGACGAGATAGTAATGTTATTTGTCATTCATAAATTCTTACTAACAATATTATAAATGCAATGAGTTCTAGGATCATACCTTTTAGCGCCATAATAGCTCGTTCTATCACTATGAAATTTGGCATACACTTGGTATTTGGCATAGAGGAGGACATTTTTATCACGATACAGAGAAGTCTTAGGCACAGCTTTATATTAATATCAGTCTAAGTATTACGTTCAAATTGTTAAAATAAAAAATTCGACAACAAAATTCTATTTCCACTGAATCGAATAGTCGTATATTATAGAGTATTCTCGTACGGTCCCAGAATAGAATAGGTCATTCCTTCCTTTCCCGTGGGTGTGGTAAGAGACTAAGAGAAGCCGAGGGATGGGCAGCAGCATCCCTCTGAAAACATCATTAAAGCCTAACTGCGGGTGCCAATCAGCCTGCTAAACGTGGCAACTACTGGCAAAACTCCCGAAGGGGCTTATGTTTAGCAGTGGACAGTTAAAGGATGATATGATGATGATGATATTATAGTATTTATTTCATGAGTACAATACAATTGAGCGAGGTAAGAAAACTTTTAGACTTCTATTCTATATATAGAATAAGCAATCATAGGAATCTTAAACTATTTATAAATGATGAATGAGAAAGATTGTATACGAAAACAAAATAGCAGACATCACGAAATTTTAAAAGATATTTCGCATCTGAAATTTAGCATATTCCATTTTCATATGTTTACATTAACAAAGAAAGTATTTTAATTAACTACATCAATCCCACCTGTATATTATACTTTTATATTATACTATAAGATAAAAGCCATAATTTGCTAACCTGGTGGCCTATACCAAAGCGTGACGACTTCGTGTGAATACGTGTGACTCGGCACCGACTTGGCCCGAGCTAGGCCAAAGTCGGCCAGTTTCAGTTCCCCGTGAGAGCTTATTAGTAGATTTTGTGGTTTCACGTCCCTGTTGAAGAAATAATTAAATCAATAACACAAATATGAGTAATAAAATATGTATAACTACTGTTACAACGCACTGTGTTGTATGTGTGATATAAAAGACAAAATGCGGCGACGAAAAATGACGCTGGTGCAGTCCTCTTATGTCTTTTTTGTTCTGAAGAGTTTTGCACGTACGCCTTTATCTATGGTTTTGAAGCCCGCAAATGGAATTCCATGTATAGGGAGACATTACGTTTTAACAGTTTATAAGATCTTTTCGACACATTTGAATGTAAATGTCACTTGTTGATTAAAAATGAGTGCACAATTTAGTTAAATGCGCTCTTTTTTAGTCTCTAATTCTGGATTTATTTGGTAGGTATATCATATTAAAAGGTATATGAACTAAATTTACTTTTATTTAAATATACATTAGATGGCGCGATCGAATAATTAATGAATAGATTAAAAATAAAACCCGACTCAATAGCTTTTTCCTTCATTACACAGGGGAAGTGGAAATGGATAGGTCATTTAACACGAATGGCCAGACAGATGGACAAGACGCCTTAAATAAAGGAGAGCTCTTTGATTTCTCCCTCAGACACTATATTAACAAGGCATACATAGAGGAGGGACAGCTATTATATACTTTTTGCACTGCATTGCATTAATGTGCACGTGAGACTAATAGAATCGTTCTCTCTGTACTGCAGTAATAAAAAAAAGGAAAAGCTACGCTAAAAGTAGCCTGAGGACTGTCTCTTGTCTGCGCAGGTCGTTAAGAGCGTTCACATCGATATACGAGTTATTTGTTAATTAAAAAATAGAACAGTTGTACGTAAATTCATCAATAATTTTTTATATCCATTTCGATAAAAGAGAAGAAAGTACTTACTTTTTTGTTATTAATTGATAATAGATTAAATTTAAAATAACTAATGTTTTTAGTTTGTTATAAGAACTTTTTAAAGAATAACTTAGAAAATGGCTTAATTGTTTTGAAAACTTAACAGAAAAAAGCAATTGTTGCCAGATTTCGATATGAACACTCTTAATGTTACGGTATAGTGGAAAATAAACAAATAGTGTAAATGCTCTTTAGAAACAAAACCCATTTTGTTTCTTATCTACTATTCAGCTAACAATGCAAGAGGTGAAAATATCACATTGTAATACACGAGTACCGTAATAGAGGATTTTTCCTTTTATGAGACATAAAAAAATGTATACAGAGCTTTCATTTCACCGAGTCCCCACACAGATAGGTTAATTTATCGGCGTTGTTCCACTAGTTACGGCGAGGCGGGCGACCATGCTTGAACGAGCTCAGAGAGTAAAGCAATGAGGACCACTCACTGGCCTCATAACTTATTTATGAACGGTATGTTCGCTCTGTTTCCTCAATAAAGTCACATTGTCCCTAATCTATGAGAGGTTATTGTCAATATTAATTTTGAAATTGGAACACATTTTGTAAGAGGCGACTAAGGAAACAAATTAAAAAAAGAAACACAATAAAGTAAATTAAAAAAGAAATACTACCAAGACACCCGCCAGCGGTTTAATTATAATGATTTGTTGAATGTTTCGAATTGACTGGTTTTAAAAATACTCAATCTCTTACAATTCGACCAGACAACCTATGACAATGAGCCAAAAGCGCCATTATCGATAGATTATCAAAGATGCTAGCTAATATTAGTACCGACTGTAGTGTTTTTTTTTTTTTAATTTAAGTGAGATTATTAACCAGCGATATGGCTTGGTATAGTATGTATGTTTCAATAGAACATAATAAAAAGAATCAGTCTCCAAATGAAATTAGTAAAGGATCAAAACATTCAATCAATTAATCGATTTTATAATTGTGCTACTACTAGATATCAGAAGACTAATTCATTTGTTTTCTTTCTTTTACATTTTCATTAGGCTTTATTGACCGACTGTAAAAGGTTTAATTTTGAGTTTTGCCTTGTACTAGTGTATTGTGCTTTACATTGCGCTCTTTGCAATGAACATCTCGATATCGTAGGGGTGAAAAGGAGTGTTGTATTGTATTCTTATTATTACTATACTGTACTTGTAATTATATTAAGAAATTAATAGTTCCATACCTGTGTAAGACTCTTCTTCGATGACAATAGGACAAACCGCGCAGTAACTGGAACATGAATAGCCTTACGTTGTGATGGTTCAGCCCGCCCGGATGCCTCTCCATGTATTGTGATAGGTCTGTGTCCTGTACAAACATTAGCGCTGATGAATCATTGTGGTAAAACATACATGTAATTGGTGTAAAGCAAATTAATCAAATTCAACAGGTAAGCATAATAGTGACGGCTTTCTGTGTAAATAATACGTTTGAGTAAAGATGAGCCCCTCTAAACAAATAGCAAATGAATTAAAACGGAAAGTTTTCGTTACGTACAAGCACTCGTTTTGCATGGGGCATGTCATAGAACGAGATAGTAAATTAGACCGTTTTATTCTTTCACGCGCGATAATGAAACATGTTTTTGTATTTATTAGGTTATTGAATAAATTGTGTTTAAAAAAATACTTTAATTGTGGCAAAATTAGTTACTTTGATTGAAACTAGTGATTTTGATACATATTCTATAGGACCAATCTGTAAGTATATTCTTTCATAATTTTCCAAATCGATTTACAACTGACGAAGTTATGAGGTAACAAACATTAAAAGTAATATAACCAAATGAGAAATGAGAACCTCCTTCTTTTTAAAGTTGGTTGAAAAGAACAAATCGGGACTGAGATAGGCTTACACTTACAAATAACGTGACTAGTGGCTAATGTCACTTGCCGCATATTTTGAAATTTTCCATTATCCTTTTATTGACAAATACAATAAACACTAAATTCAGCTTATTTATTTGTTACATTTTGGCGTTTTAGCGGCTCAATCAAATTGGTACACATTTAGCATTCGGGATGGAGAAAGACAGGTGTTGTCTCAGTCATGCGGACGAAATAACCGGTTTAAACAAGTAGAATTACAATATTATAGGGATCTATTATTAAACATATTAATTGACTGAAATAAAAGTAATCTATGTAATTCTGCTGCATGTGTTCTAAATTTCATGATTAGATAAATACACTAAGAAGTAACAAACACGCACAAATAAATTACTTCCACATTTATGATAAGGACTTGTAAGGATATAATCAAGTAACATCATACTCTATGAAAACGCTGCATAGAAATTTTATTTTCATTTACAATATTACAGAGCCATTTTCTTGCTCATCGTAAATTCGCAATATTCAAGATGAAGCTCGTAAAGCGCAAGTCGTATAAATAAGATACTGTCTTAGGTGAATGCGGCCTCGCCACTCATTAAAAAGTCTCAGCTGTTCAAAGCACTATGTATGTGGGATTTTATTACATTATAACAATATCTAACATAAATTACTACGATAATACTCTGGCAATTTTGTTTTTAGAGATTTCAAACTTGATTTTAAAAGTGGGTATAGAAGGCATATGATTAAAAATATATCCCATGTATTAACTGCGACTTCGACCGCGGGTTCGAGATATGTTTACTGGCCAGGATAAAAAAGAGCTTATTAAGGATATAGGATAGATAGGACGGAGAAGATCCATCCCATATTGTACGTGTATATCAAAGTTCATAGTAATTGGTTAAGCCGTTAAAATGCTATAAGATAGCAAACAAACTCATTTTACATTTAACACATTAGTGAGAATATTATGTGATCTGATTCTTTATACTTGACATTTAATAAACAATTTAGGCATTTTTATCGAAATAACACTACATAATATAAAAAAAATCAAGTAGAGATTTTTGTATGTTTTTAATTTAAATGATTAAATTAGATAAAAAAAAAATTATAGAAGTATAAAAAAATACACACGGAAAGTTATAACGAATAAGCAACAAAAGCATTGCCTTTCTCATGTTTATACTTAACACGGAAGTGTGTTCACGATAGTAGTAAACAATAATAAAGCAAGTTTCACGTCCTTCACTATCACTAATTAGCTGACCTAACAGACGATGCCCCTTCTAAAACTCAATGCGGTATCTTTATTCCAAAACTCAATATTCTGGGCTTTAGCATTACCACAGTATAAATAATAGTAGCGTTCCTTTGTTGACATCTGGACCACTAATTTTGAATTCTTTCAAAATTCTTTTTTGAAACACTGTGTACATAATTATAGAAGCGAATGCAACCCTTTTTACCCTTTGACACTTTAATGTAATATAAAAACTTGAAAAACAAAAGTAAAAAATGAAAAAGATTCAACCAAAGTTATTCCTAACGCCATTCAAGATTGAAGAGTGCTTGCATAAAAATAATAATCTTTTCTCCAACTTTCTGAGAAAAACGGAAAAGTTATTTCCGTTTTTTTTTCGTAAAAACCTCAATCGGGTTATTACGAGTATAAAAAAATATTTCGAGAAAAGGTCGAGAATTTGAGATAGATTTTGAAACAGAAAGGAAGAGAAATGAATCCTCCTTGGCAGGGAAAACTGTTTTAATCTTATATACATTTAGTATATAAATCAGGACATTTCACCGCAAGACGTGCCGCTGACACATATTATATGGAAAACTTTCCCCAAGAAAGGGTAAAGGTCAAATTGCTAATTTAAAATTTTGTTTTACAAAAAATCGTATTTAATCTTGACAAAATACATTTGGAACTATCAGTCTTAGTTATTCTGTTATCTTAATCTTTTCTTATAAAAAAACATATCAGTTCAATTTAAAAATAATTACCGTGTGGTCCTGGCATCGAATGGGCCACACTTTCGTTTCCCATGGGAGTTTTAAGAGACGACTAAGATAATTTAATGGTTGTGGGATGGGTAGCAGCGTTCCTTTTAAAACTTTACGCCTAACTGCGGTTACCGGGGGGATGAGCTAACTGATCTGCCTTTTCATTGTCACCTATCATCCCTCACTGGTGTCCCGCTAGCGTATACCGTTAGCGCAAGCGGGGTTACCATTCCATTATCATCCATTTAACTCCAAAAAAACTGCGGTTACCAATCCGCCTGCCAAGCGTGGCAACTACTGGCAAAACCACCCTCTTGGGGGAGGCTCACGTTCAGTAGTGGACAGTAAACTGCTTATATGATGATGATATTAAAAATTATGCTTGTGTTATAATTTTTAATATAATAAATATACTTTTTTATTTGTTGGTCGGCAACGCGTAACTTTTGATGTTGCAAACGGTTTAAGACCGCGGAGGCTTAAGAAAAATTATCGCGCAATTCGAATATTGGAACGTTGATATTTGTTTACCAGTTTACCACTATTCCTAACTAACACTATTCAATTTATAAGCTTCATTAACAGCTACACAACATGACAACGTATTAGCCATCTTACTACGTAATTTCATTGCCATATTCTAATCTTCAAACCGAAAAACAACAATTCAAAGACATCTGTTTACCGGAGAAAAACACAAGTAGCACAGATGATGGAAGTAACCATGCAGACGAATTTTGTATAAAGTCTCCTTTTGATAATAATAGTTACTCGAGAAGCAGGATTTTCCGACAGTAATTTTGCTTGGCGGGTGCACTGTAAATGGCACACCGTTAACCTTTTGCAGCTATAACTGTAACTTGGTAACTTACCACGAATTCAAACACGAATGTGAGCGTTTCTCGCGTGTGCACAATGTCGTGCAGCGTGACTATATTGGCGTGCTTCAACTCTTTGAGTAACGACGCCTCCCTGATCGCCGTGAATGGCGCACCCTCGTCCTCTTGCAGTCTGATCTCTTTCAATGCTACTACTTGCTGTGTTAAACTGTAAAAGAAAAGAGCATGTTAATAAAAAATAAATTTACATGTTTAAAAGATTGAATAAACTAATGATTGTAAGGGAATAAATACTTTTAATATTTTTGTGGTAGGATAAAATTTATATTGGCACTGATATTTGGCCTTGACCAATTGTACAATCGTTACAAAAAAAAACAACGATAAAGATAATGGTTATGTTTACGGTGTGTTATAATTAACAAAATAATTATGAAGTTATTTGTACCATTAAGGTGTTATTTTGCGGAATAACATGTTTGAAAAACATGTGATGAAGGCAACCATTGTCTAAAGATATGTACACTACCATAGATATCTCAGCATATAGATAAATATCATGTCGTCAGTGAACAAATTATACTATTATTGAAAATATGAAATTTTAAATTCTGATTTAAATATATTTTTTAGCGTTGAATAACATCGTACCTGTTTCAATTTATATGAAACATGAGCTAATCCTGTTATTTTATCACGGAATTTCCGGATTGTCGGTTATCCTATGTTATAAACCAGACGTTTAAGTATTTGTTACAAAAACGTTTTCATAAATTCGTTATTAGTAACATTCAAAACAAAATTAATAGAGCGATTGATTAAAGAACATTTCTAAATGTCTACATGTTACTAATTAAAAGTGAACAGTTATTTTTACCGTAAAGAATGTTAATAACAGTGAATTGTGCACGTTTATAAAATAATATTACAGATGAGCACTCGTCTGCAACTTTGTGTGCAGCAATCTCTATCAATCGTCACACCTATTCCATTATGGGGTAGGCAGAGAGAACAGAGTGCATAACGCTTTGCCTGAGAATTTGTTTTATCTTTGACTGTGCCTAGAGTCAATATCAAAGATTTAGATATAGAATGTCACAATTATCTTATAACATATTGATATTAAAAAAGTTATTTAATAATAACTGTCACTAAATCGACCAGACGGAGAATCAGAGTGATCGACGTAGTAGCTCAAAGCCTGTAAACTGAAGTTGTAGTGGGAAAGTCAAGCTGTAGAGTGAGGGACGGTAGATGGAGAGAAAGCTGTTAGAGTATAGACCGCGTATAGGAAAATGCCTTGTGGGCTGACCTCTCTTCAGATGTATCGACAATCTCCGCAAGACAGCGGGAAGACAATTGATGCAAAAAGCAAAGAACCGCATTGGGTGAAAGGCATTGACAGATACCTACAGTAGATTGGAATAGGTTGACAATGATGAAAAACTTATAATAATAGCAAAGCCTACCTCACTAAACCTTTTCGGAAATACCATATGCAAAACCGTTTTTATAAATAATTACACTTTTTCAACCTAAATTTAAGGATGGAACTCCGAATCGTTTAGCAGGGATCAATTAGGCTCTATTGAGTCTAATATACGAGCAAAAAGTCAGATTCTTTTACATTTTTGTTTGTCTCTGTCTGTGTAATTAATTCAAGTAACAGAAATGTGAAAAAACGTTTGATTTAAAAGGACAAAATTGGTAAAAATTAAAACAATAATAAAATTTATGGAAAAATACAAGTGTTCTTGTACTCGATGTGTTCAAAGTATCACAAAGAAACAACAATTACCAGTATTAACATAATGATTAAAAATGTGTCATACATATTCATATAACGGAGACATACAAAGTTTCTATTGTTATTTCTAACATTGTTCTTTTTTGCCACTGAAATAAATTATTTTAAAAAAATCCTGACAATGTCACATCTCGTACGTCTATATATACATTACTATGTTAAGTAACTTATTAAAAACATTTCCTGTTTATTTATATTATTTATTACAAAGGAGCCATTATACTGGTAGGTCAAGCCTAATACTATGATTAACATTTATAATATACGAGCTTTTACCTATTGTCTATAAAATTTTGCTATACCGTGAAAGTCAATATTGCCTAAACAAACGGCGCGTTAATATTTTCTCTAACCTCATTAACTTTCACAACATATGATAACATTATACTCGCAAATTCCGTTTCACGACAGTTAGCTAACGCTACAAAGGACAATACAGGCAACTTTTCGTTCAGCCTGCCTTTAGGTCTCGCCAAATATTAATTACTCACTTCCAAGTATTCGTAAACTAATTAAACGCGAGTTCATACGCGTCCATATAATTAATTGACTTTGTTACTATGAAGGTTGTAAATAGCCCGCTTCATACTTTTTAGCAATTTCTAGAAGAAGGAAGTTTTTAGATTGTTTTTTTTTTTTCGTATATTACGACGATATTTTCACTAATTTTAATAATTCGTTCTCTATAGGACAGTTTACTTCGATTTTGGTTCCATACTAACTTTGCCAGTCAGTATTAATGGTCGCTTTTTTATAAGAACTAAAATCTTGCGTATTGCTGAGCACAATGTTTCAGTAGAGAATACGATCAGAACGGCAACGTTTTGACTTAAAATATATTTTAAATTTAGTGTGTCTTTGCTCAGCGTCACTCTAACATATTCTATGTTATTTAGACATAAAACTACACTACAAACAAAACACTCAATAACAACAAACCAATACAAATATACATTAATTATCAATTTATAGTAGTAGATAATGATTTAAAACAACAACTAATTTAAATATAAATTAAAATTAAAGCTACATTAAAGTCGGTAGACAAGCCCGATAGTGGCATAACTTTTACTGCTCATGAATAGAACAATTTGGCAAGTTGAACACACTCATTACGGGCGAAGCAGTACGCTAAGTACTTATTCAATATTCAGAAGCCATGAACTCGGCGAGTTTCGTTTGACTTGGCCCTCTTGACCCGATCTCGCTTTAAAATTGCCATAATTTTCCTTCAACATTAATTTGTAAGCTTAGCTTAGTGCGATGTAATTAATTTGTCGAAGATAACGTTAGATTATTGCGAGATGGCTCAAGCCGCTTTGAATAGCTAAATATAGGCCATTTCTATAACTACTATATAATAATCAAGTTATTAATTTAATTGCGTAATACGTAATTGTATGGTTACAAACGTTAACGTATCACACGGGAGAAGATTGTAAGTATATATTAAACTAAGCAGTGGGTGCTCATAGTTTGTAAATTTGAATATTTTAATATATTTTTATAAATGGCTTTTATTATATAATAGCCCTGTCGTATCCTAAACAAATTTTCCAATATATTCCCAAATCGTTTACTACCTTGTCTCCCTACCGAAACAGAGGAATTAATAATGGGCATCAATATGTTAGGCAAATTTTTGTTACTTAAACACGCTGAAACTGCTGCATAAATTTAAATGAAATTTTGTACTCAAATTGACCGTGGTCCTGAATCAATACAATGGATGCTCTATAACTCAATTCAGTCAAAATCGCTGGTTATAGTTACTCGTTTATAATATTTACCAGAGAGAGACTTTGTACAAAAGTCGATTGCTTGGGTAACTCTGTCCCATTCGTGTTTCTACCGTGAAGCAGCTGTGTTTGCATGACTGTGTTTCGGTTTGAAGGGTCGGATATGGCGTGAATTTACTGGGTACAGAGGAATAACATCTGAGTCCTCAGGAATGGCAACGCATGGGAGGTATCATGGGCGAAACAGTATACTCTGTTATGTCCATGGTACTGCTCATGTCTATAGGCGACGGTTACCACTTCCCATCAGGTGGACCGTCAGCTTGTTTGCCATTCTAAGTTGTATAAAAAAAAATTGAAAGTAAAAATTATCAGTTATAGTCAGCTCATTTTAGATATTGTGTTTAATAAACTATCTTCACATATTTCTTTATAGGACTAAAATAAGAATACAGAAAAATTACTCGCATCTAGTATATACATATATTTGTTTGTATATTATAGGTTATTTGTATGTTTTACTTTGTGATGATTAATTTCGAGGTACCAAAAGTTCTTAATAAAAAACAAAAACGAATGCTAAATTCAATAATACAGTAAAGAGAAATCAAGTTATTTTTATCTCTAGATACCACAAAATATTCAGTAACGGCAATATCTTCATGAAACTTTAATATTTTAGAGAGGCGAGAAGCCGTAAACTAGGTTCTGTCGATACAAAGTGGGATAAGAGCATGCTTTACATATCGAGTGACGTCAAGGAAACTATAAATGGAGTTGAGCGACAATGGGGTCGACACGTTATGGGAATTGTAGCGAACTAAAATCTAGATCATACAACTGTAGTAACACTTTACAGTATTGTTATTTATCCTGGAGCATTAAAGAGCCGAATAGACGAATCTTAATACGATCCATTTTATATAACTTGTCAATTGTCAAGTTCAATAGGCACTTTGACTGGTAATACTTTCATTGGCGGGATATACGATACAAATTGTATTATGATTGAAGCAAAATGCGTGTTTCAACACTCTGTCTTTCTGAATATATTTTTAGAGCGAATCTGATGAATATTCGCGTGTTCAATTTGTATAGTCTGATTAATCTTTTATATTTGTCCAATAATATTTAATTAATTAGTAGTTCATTCGCGTAAAATTTATAATATCATGAAGAATTCTATGGTACAGATACGTTTCCGCCAATTTTCATTGAAATTGATATAATAATATTGTTAGTGATACTTTTTCCTATTTTTAATATTAAAAATATAAAAATTTATGTATCTTAAATATCAAGTCTGAAATAGTTGACTTAGAATTACAACTGATACTATATCTAACTAGATAATACATAATTATTCATTAATTAGCATCTTTATCAACTATTATCAAACCGTAGAGCTAAATTGCATGCCTATTTAATATCTATGATATATGCACTCCCTCACACATCTATGTATCTATCCATCTATTTAGTAATTGGACCTAAGCTGTATTAGTAAATTTGGGAATAATTTTAAGATTAATCACTATATTTTAAACTCTTTTCTTATATTTAAGTTGTAATAAACGAGACTTTTAGTTTAAAAATTCATCACTACTACAATATAAAAATATTTCGATAAAGTGTTGGTCAGATAGTGGTTTTAATCATCTA